ATCAATTTGGAGCTTCGGAAACAGTCGGAAACTCATTATACCAAGCACAACCGTTTTCCAGCATATTTCGTATTTTTCGTTATTTTCTTTTTCGAATTTCTCCCGAAGGAAAAATCGTAGAATAAAACTTTTTACACCATTGGATAGCGCGTTCAACGAAGTACATTTGACACTTCTCAAATCTTGAAAAATCTCACTTTCGTTTTTTCACCTAATGTCCACTTGGTTGCCCACTGTGCTCAGGACTAACAGTATGACAAAAGTTTTTTGAACAAACTCATTTTTTAATAATATGGCTAAAACTTTTGACCGATAGCTCAATCAACAGGATGCCCGGAAAAAAGGAAGATATTTAGACTACACTAAAGGAACCTAACGATTTCATTCTGAAGTTGAATAACCATCAAAACTTAGCATATGCCCTATGAAAAAACTGTATTACTCAGCACGCATGCTTTCCCTTCTTTGAGAGACATTTAATAATGAAAGGTCGCAGAAAGTTGGGGTTTTCACTGTTGTGTTTAACACTGTCTCTTTTCTATTTGCACAAATTTTCTATGTCATGGGAAAAAATCCTTTAGACTTTTTACTAGCTCAATACCCTCTATCGGCCGATGTATGAACGAACGAAATCGGAAGGTATTATTCGAATAGATTTCCTCGAAGGAAGCCAAATTGATAACGGCATGATACTTAAAACTTCGGGAAACTCCAAAGATTTCTGGAAAACCTAGATTTTCAGCTTCATAGTATATCAAAACTTAGTTTCAAATAAACCATTAGAAAGAGCACGAAAAACTGCATAGGATTTTTCTGTTGATATGGCATAGGAGAGAGTGAACCACCTGCGAAATAAACGTCATTGTAGCTTGAGATGATTTTATCGTTCACATCCAGAGCCAAATTTTATTTTGTATAATTTTAGTGATGATTCGATTGTAGAATGGAAAAACTCGATGTAACCGCAGTTCTAACAGATTCTCATCCTCCAACTTAAGTTCTCTTCCAAAAGAGGGATAATATTGATAGATGGTACCTACCTTATATCTGGACTAATGTACCAGTCACCATCCCATCGCCAATTAGGCGGTAATTGAAAATTTTTTTGAGGTAAATCAATCTAATTTTTTAAAATAAAATTTACTTATTAAAATACAAAAACGTTTGATAGTATGGCTTACATTTCCCGTTAAATCAGACCACGCTGGTCTACTCATTAGAGGTCCACCGGTGGTCCATTTTCCTATAATATTTACTTGATTTTCGTATGTTTCTGCATAAACAACCAATTCTCCTCCTTTCTCCGATGATAACCAATCGTGTTCATTTGTTTGAGTGCCTAACCATACTTTGACACGTACTTGAGCTGGTAGAAATTTTTTTTTATCCTTTTCAATCTCTGATTCTTTTCCTGGCCATTTCATTGTTATTGTTTGGAGTTTTCCACAGAGACGTCCTTTTCGATCTTTTTGAGGCGAATAAAGGACCTCATGTGCTGGCAAACGATAATAAGCAAAGCGTTTACCACCACATAAAAGCCATATTATTATATCAGGTATACTATTTTGTGGCTATAAGAACAGTATAACGAATGTATTTGTTATTAATATCTATGAAATGTTGTTTAAATATAACATACTTCAACTTCTAAGTTTTGTAAATTATTACAAATATCCAAAAAAGTTTCTTCAAATTCCTTTGATGTGGTGTCAGGTTTTAATTTCATATTTTCTAAATTTACGATCAAATCTCCTATAATTTTATCTCGCATTTGACGACGAAGACGATCTAACTGATTTGTATGATGTCGACCAGCTTCAGCATTGGGTAACGGTTTTCTATTATACGAAATAATGAATGACAACTAGATATAACGAGTACTAGATGAGAAGTTTTAATTAATAAAAACTAATTATGTATGGAAAATTTTAGATGACTGTTTTTCCAGTCTTTTACAAGATTTTCTGACTACCATCGGTTTCAAAATGCAAGAGCAGTGGCCGTTCTCTGAATAACTGTTGAACGAAAGTAGATGAAGACTCGCGGCTTTTGCTATTCGATAGCCAAGACTTAAGAGCATGTGTTCATAAGCAGAAAATATTTAGAATTAATTTTCAAAAATCGGTTTTCAAGAAGATCTTTGGAAAAGCGTCTCATAACTGGAAAATTCGACATAACAATATATTGATTTTTTTCCATAAGAAAATGGACTAAAGTGTTCTGCCCAAAACAGAATCTAAACGAGAGCTTCATCTCGCATGGTTCTGCAAGGGACGAGGTTTTCTTGGGAGGCCTACGACTGTTCTTCATTTCAGTCGATGAATCTCAGCAATGCATGCAAACATAAGTTTCGACTATACTGAATCTCGTGGCAATATTTGTTCTGAAAAAAAGATTTTGAAATCTAGCAAAAACCACGTTTTTCAAAAATTAGGGTTTCCGCCTGTTTTCACCTATTGTTAAAAAATTCACAATTCACTTAAAAAATATCAGAACGAGTTCATAACTTCAGGATGTACAGTATTTAGATTGTTTTATATTGTGCTTAAAAGAAATTAACAAGAAAAAATTTATAAAACTCTACGGTTTTCCGAAAGGGTTTCTAGAAGATGTCAGGATAAAAACATAATTTTTTAATTATTCTGGTCTTGTAATCACGCCTAGCGGACAGAATTAACCATTATCTATCCTGGAGTTGTGAACGCGTTCTGATGTTTTTTGAGTGAATTGTGAATTTTTTAACAATAGGTGAAAACAGGCGGAAACTCTAATTTTTGAAAAACGTGATTTTCGCTAGATTTTAAAATCTTTTTTTCAAAACAAATATTGCCACGAGATTCAGCATAGTCGAAACTTATGTGTGCATGCATTTCTGAGATTCATCGGCTGAAATGAAGTTCCCTGCGAAATCATGAGAGATGAAGCGCTCATTTAGATTCTGTTTTGCGAGGAACACTTTAGTCCATTTTCTTATGGAAAAAAATCAATATATTATTATGTCGAATTTTCGAGTTATGAAACACTTTTCCAGAGACCTGCTTGAAAATCGATTTTCGAAAAACAATTCTAAATATTTTCTGCTGATGAACACATGCGCTTAGGTCTTGGCTATCAAATAGCAAAAGCCGCGAGTCTTCATCTACTTTCGTTCAACAGTTATTCAAAGAGTGGCCACTGCTCTTGTAGTTTGAAACCGATAGTAATCGAGATTAGCGTAAAAAACTGAGTTGTAGAACAGGACGTTCTAAAAAGTTTATAACTCGCGCTATACTGTTTTAGTAAGCATCTGTTTAAAATGAAGGCTATTATACAATTATTAAAACGTGCAAATCAAGAATCAAACATCTTGATCAACAGCTTAAAATATAACGATCCATGATGGATATGATATTCAACAATGTGACTTTACAGCAAAATACTGTTTTAGAATATTTCTCCTCTTTTTTGAAAATATTTCAATTTTGAATTGCACATAGACTAATGCGAGTGAAAGTCTCGACTACAAAATAAGATCACTCTCAATATTTCAGTACCTTTTTGAAGAAAGTTATGAGTATTTTAAGTTCGTAAGGTGTAGAAAACTTTACTACTTTATTTTGCTTCTCTCTTTTTCAGTCCCATCAAACATGTCACTTATAGATGATTTAATAGAGCAAAGTGTTCTCTTCACTTGTCGTAAAAAAAACTGTCCTGTCAGTCGTTACTTTTACTACACGACATCTCAAAATACAAATTTTTGGTATTAACTTTGAAAACCGAGCCGAATGATACACTTTTTTACCCTATCCAACCATCTTTGCTTTTTTCGAATTTTCACGTTGAAAAATTACTGAGATTTTGAGATCCAAAAATTAAAATCAACGAAAAATTTCGAAATATATATCATTCGAATCGGTTTCCAACGCTAACTCCGAAGCAAAGCGAATGGGTTATAAAACTTGTCTCTACCTCTTAACCAAAAGGTTGCACGTGGCTTGCAAGATGAGTATCGTCAAACAAAAGGTGTACATGAAAAGCGACGTGCCCAAAAGTTACTGTTTCATGTGGAACCTTCAAATATACTTTTTTAGATGCTAATCAAGAAAAACACCTTTGTGAAGCTCCAAATCCATTTGGAATGGAGTTACACGATTTTTAAAAAAGTTAATGGAATTTCGAAAAGAAAGTCGCTCTCAGTACTTTGAACTTTTCTCGGTGATAACGTATACTAAAAACATTCAAAGTAACATATTCTTAATTAGCAAGAAATTCTCTATCGAATGATGCATATTTGAAGTGAAAATAAAATAGTGCTTGACGTTCGAATTTGGATTTCCTTATAATCAGTTTTCAACATGTAGATAATAAATTAATGAATTGAATTGAATTTAAAAGATCTTCTGCTTGAAAATATATATTGTTCAGTAAGTGCAACGATTAATTAGCACAAAACTGATATGGACCACTGTGCAATTTAGAACTACGTATATCCATTCAATGCTCTTAAACATCCTGTTTTTGAATGTTATTGTAATTCTTTCTGAGTATAACTGAATGTTTATTTGTGAAGATGGCTAAAAAGCTCAGTTGATTGTTTTAGGTGTTGGTATACTCAACTCAATGAGCTGTATCGGTTAGCTATCTCAGATTATAAATTGGAAGATTTTTGAGTGTTAGTGAATATTCTCATCGTTTACAAATATCCAATAATTTTAGCTGAAAAATTGAATATCAAGAAATTTTCTCTCATTTGGAAAAAAGAACATATAATGGTAGAGAAAAAAAATAGTAAAGCAGAGCGCACTTACATTAGCTGAGCTATAACCATTTCCAATGATTGTCGATATTGTCGTACAATAATATCTTCTGATGTATGTTTGAGTTTAAGAGATTTTATTGACGAAAGAATTCCATTCTAGAATAGAGTGGAGTTGGAGGAGCATTTTGTCAAGTGAATTTTCTGTTTATATTTATCTAAAGCGTCATAGGAGTTTATTACAACAATTGCTTACAATTAATAGTCTAGTTTTTGATAATTGATTTATTGTTTCTAATCGAAATGTAACATCTTCCCATTCTGAAATAACTTGTGCTGTTGGTTTTGCATTACCCCATGGTAGATAATAATACGATGTTCCGTCGAAAACAGGATTTGTCGGTGGTGTTATTGAACTATTAGTACTACCAACGACATCCTCTAATTTTTTACCATAATTGCCTACAATAATAATAGTTTTTGCATGGTTTGATTACAAAATTATAAAAAAAATGCTTTACCCATGCTAACTTCAAATTCTATCATCGATGTATGTTCATATAACATAGTTGCGTCATAAAAGACGACATGTAATTTAAATTTTTTACGTGACTGAAATGGCAATGATCGTACAATTTCCGAGTTTGGTATATCAATTAATGGTTCTAATGGAGTTTCACTTAAGACTGTTGCCAATTCAAAAAGTACACGGCCACGATAAGCAACACCCTCACCCTAGAAAATTTACCAAGAAGTGAACAATCACAAAAGTGCACCGAGAAGTGGTGAAAGACGTCACTAAGTTTTCCTTTTTTAAAACATAAAGGCTAACTTTTTCATATTGAAACAAAAAGGATTAATACGTTGTTCATCTACTTTAAGTCGACCGAGTGACACTCGGAAAGGCTAATTCTGTTTTACTACAAACATTTCTTCTGGATTCATTTTTTCCCCTGCAATTAGCCACTCATTCTCAGCTATCTCTAATCGTACAGATTTGGGAAAAACATCATTTGAGAGTGCAAGAGCTGTAGATGACACATCCGAAGGTATTTTTTCGATATATATTTCAATTATTAAGTAATAAGTCCCAAATTCAGCATATTTTCAATAACTTTTCTATGAGATAATTAACAGACGTCCTGCAAGAGAAAACTATCTACGAATTCTACTACGCTCTGCAGCTGTCCTCTGGTTTATAAGGGTTTCTCGAAGTCCTCTTTCTTTTTGTCTCTAGAAAATTTCCTTCAAAACCTTTGGAAGTAGAATTTCCAAAAAATCGTGGTTATCGGACTACATTAGTTGAATTAAGAGTGTTTTGAAAATCACCATTAGGACATAGAACATTTTAAATAACATATTCGAATTCAGCGTCGCAAGGAGAACATTTTTTAAAATGGATGTAGTTCAGCTCAGCTAAGCGATGGAGATTCGGTCCAAATGTGACTGGATAGAGAATTAAAAACTGGAAAAACCTACGGATTTAACGAGATTTCAATGCCACGTGGTCAAGCCTTTCTAGGAGATCTTCAGACAATCTCGTTTTCATTTCACTTTAATTTCTCTAGTTTTGAAGTTAAAACTTTTTTGCCGAACTTTTTCGAAGCACTAATGGCCAAAAACAATCGAAATAAGATATTTCAACACTAGCAATGATGTTGGCTGCACAGATAAGATCAAGTTTCTCTTTGATATATTTTTCAATGTCTCCGAAATTAATTTTAGGAACAGAGTGTAGATCAGTTATTATTTTATTCTCAAAACAGGTGAGAAATGAGAGGGACACTTTTTAAGAAGAAGAAGCCTTTATTTGAATGAGAAGTTGGAAATAAAGTTTTAAATATAAAGTATAATACTACTATGAAATACTTTATATTTAAAAGAAGAAGTCTAGTGTAGACATCGTCTGTCTAAGTGAAAAGAGAAAAAAAGATCATCGTGACCTATAGCAATTGACTACATGAAGATGAATATCGTTCATACAGCAGCCAACATCATCGCTAGTGTTGAAATATCTTATTTCGATTGTTTTTGACCATTAGTTCTTCGAAAAAGTTCGGCAAAAAAGTTTTAACTTCAAAAATAGAGAAATTAAACTGAAATGAAAAGGAGGTTATCTGAAGATCTTCTAGAAAGGCTTGACCACGTAGCATTGAAATCTCGTCAAATCCGTAGGTTTTTCCAGTTTTTAATTCTCTATCCAGTCACATTTGGACCGAATCTCCATCGCTTAGCTGAGCACAGCTATATCCATTTTAAAAAAGTTGAATTTTTTAAATTTTAAATTAAATGAAAAAATTGAAATTTTGAGTGGAAACCTTAGTTTTTTTTTCAAAATGTTCACCTTTCGGCGCTGAATCCGAATATGTTATTTAAAATGTTCTATGTCCTAATGGTGATTTTCAAAACACTCTTAATTCAACTAATGTAGTCCAAAAACCACGGTTTTCTGGAAGTCAACTTCCTAGAGAGAAGGAAAAAGACAGAAGGAAAAAGGACCTCGAGAAACCCTTATGTTGTCACGTGATACTTCATATACATTCAGTATGAACAGTGTAAAAGTGACTCATGAAGTAGTCAAGAGCTACTTCAGAGCTGCGGAACCTCTTATTTTGTAGAAAAATGCTTGCACTTGTGAACTCAACTGTGAAAAATAGTTGAAGTTACTTCTAGCAAAATTAAGAGCATTCTAAAATGCACTAAAATGAGAAAAAAACCCTGTTTAACCGTTTTACTTCTGACTTTAGTGCATTTTAGAATGCATATATCTGTATCACAGATAACGTTGAAATTTTTCTACTTTTATGGGATTTTAGTTCAAACGTTTTTCTACAAAATGAGTGGTTCTGCAGCTCTGAGAAATTCTTTATAAGCGACTTATAAAAATTTTCGTAGAAGCCCTAACACAAGTTTTTAACTGGTGCATGCCTAGTCTTTACTTCTGTATAGTTTGATGGATTTATAGTCTGACACTGTACTACCAATAGAGTGCATCAATATGTTTACTACTAGAGCAGTGCAGTGTTCTAATCATATTTAAGGGATTCAAACAGTGTCTAACGTATTTTTAAGAAAAGTTTCACTCAGTCGGCTTTCCAATCTGCCCGTAGGGTAATTGGCATCTAGTCCTTTCTGGACTCTTTTTTCTCGTTCGAGTCAGCCACTCACTCTCCATTATCTCTGATCGTACAGATTTCGAGAAAGATAATTCAAAATGAGTATATTTTGAGGCAACTTTATCGTTTTCCCTATGAGATTAATCTAATTAATCGTCACGCGATTCACTTCATAGTGAATATATAATTTTTATAACTTTTGATTATAGTATTAAAACAGAGACAAACCTTTCCGCTATTAAGAATATCTAATACACTTGGTATTTCAGAAAATTCACGTGGTGAGCCATACAAATTAATCCAACATGGGCCAAATGTTGGTAAAAAACCTTAGAGAAAATAACAATAAAAAAGTATTATATATAAATAATACGTTAGAGCAGCAGTTTATTTTACCATCTTGTTTATCGCTCGATATACTGGATAGATCAATATTATGTACACCAATATAATCATTGTTTGTTAGACGATCCCTACAGGATTCAACCATTAAGGACAACCGATACAAACAGTACATTTTCAAAACTCACTTTGTAAAGACTCTGACACTGTTATCCATATTTTCTTTTACCATCTTTATCTTCCTTGAAAAGCGTACGTGCTAAGGCGAATACTCTCAAGCAAAAAATTTACTATATTACGTTATACGAAACTAATGTATAGTTTCAGTAATAATAAACTCCTATCAGAAGAAAATATATCTCTTTTACCAGTCCATTACTGAAATGGTTAATTTATTGCACATTGAAGGCAACTAAAATAGGAATATTAGATCGTATAAATCTACAATTTGTTCTAAATCAAGTATTAAACACTTACTTTAAGTCCTAAACGTAATTCTTGATTAAATTCTGGATGTGAACAAGCATAGATAATTTTCGATTCTATCTTGAAAGATAAATTATACTAATAATAAAAATGTATATCAGTGCAGTTCTAGATTTTAATTGGCAACTGTTGTTTACAGTAATCAGTAACTGAAGGCGAACTATGAACATTGATTTAATAGGCTTTACTAAAAAGACTTAAATATTTTTTGTGGACTCTTATCAACTGTTATAAAACATTCTTTTTTCTGTAGCCAAATATCCCAAAGTCCGAAATACTCTGTTGAACGCAATTTCGCGAAAGACCAAGGACATTTTATGTTTCTTAATGATTTTGTTAATTTTGACACGTTCGCAACGCTCTTCGATAAAAAAATGTCTTGAAGAACTCAGAGACATCTCATTTTGCCTAAAAATGTATGTTGTATTTGACTAACGAGAAAATCGTCCCAAGTGTCCAATTGCGGTTTCCTTAAAACATAGACGATTGTCGGTAATTTCTGATGCTGATCACAAATCTGATATCCGTTTCTGCTGCTAAATCTTTCTGGCATGGATCTCTGAAATTTGGATGGTCGAAGATCCACTATGAACTTTCAGCTGAACATATTTTGGCGCTGCCAGATTATACAACATACTGAGCTGATTACGTCGAAAATTTTCTAGCTAACAAAAAAGTTTTCGTAGAGATAGAAAAAGTTTAGGCTTGAAAAATCTGAAATATTTTGGTTCCGTACTGGATTAGAAAGTAAAATTTTTCTATCCTTGCGAAAATTTGTTTGTTGGTTCTAGAAATTTTTCTGCATAGCCAACTCAACGTGTTGTATAATCTGGCAGTGCCAAAATATGCTCAGCTGGAAGTTCCTAGAGGATCTTCGGACACCTGGATTTCAGAGTTCCATCCCAAATACGTCTAGCAACAGATATCAGATTCGTGATCGACTTGTCCAGCTAACGGCCTCTTTTTTTCGCTCTTTTTCGAACAACTATGGCAATAAAGTTTGAAAATAATCTAAAATTGCAATTAGATAACTAAGTAGATTAAACATTTCTCTACAAATTGAAAAGTATCTCAGCTCTGAGGCTCTGAAGAAGAATCAGACAAATCGTGACGTTGTAACAAAAAATGGTTAAAAGTGTTACAGCGTCACGGTTTTTCGTACTTTTCTTTGATATTAATTAATTATAGTTTCGAACTTAAAAAGCTATCACATCTTGTAGAGCAGAAAATTTTCTACAAACGGGTATCCTTGTTCAATTTTCGCCAGATAGTTTTCACTCTTTTAGACAGGTTTTTCAGATGGCTCCAGAATTGATTTTTGGCTCTGTTTGTACAACAGCTGTATCTATCTTCGTAACGAATCAACACTCAGAGCCGACATACTTTTCAATTTGTAGAAAAATATTTAATCTACTTAGTTATCTAGTTGCAAGTTTAGATTATTTTCTAACTTTACTGTCATAGTTGTTCGAAAAGGAGCGAAAAAAGAGGCCGTTGGCTGAATAAGTCGTATGTTATAAGAAAAAAGCGATTTCCGCCTGAGCTATTTTCTAAAAGTTTAAAATCGATCTAATGACTGAGTTTTCTAGGACTTGAGTTTATTAGAAATTCATATTCAACCCTTGAGATAACTTTTACACATGCACACATAGTGTTTGTTAAATGTTAAAGCTGCTCAAATGACGTTTTAGATTTGTTTTATCTAACACGCACATTCTATTCCAGCAGTAGATTGCACACTATTTTTGTTTTTTCCTGCACTAGATTTGCAAAGACTTTCGAACCAGGCGGCTATATAGCGAAATAAAAGAGAGAAGTATGAAATATTATATTTACGTGTTGCCCTGCAAATGTGAATGTAACATATGGATCAACTAATTCTTTAACATCTTCTTGACCATTAAATATTTTCTTAACACCATGCAAAAATGCACTATCCACTGAAAGAAAATTTACATTGTTTTTTGTTTTAGAAAATGTCTAAATTTTTTGTTTTACTTCGTGGTAAATCTTCCGCTCTGTACAATTTCAGCAAAAATGTTGCTGATCTTAACAACGAACCAGATTGTTGTAACAGATTACTAATGTAAAACGAAATGAAAGAATATTTATTCATTACAAATACTGTCTAATTCTTACGTTTCAATATCGTCATTAGCATCATCAGCATTTTCTGATATCTAAAGTTAAGAAAAATTTTTCTTTAATAGGAGACTGAATTAAATTAGTTTAATTTTCACATTATGTGGTATTAAATATTTAGTTTTCGAAATATCCTTGATGAAATGTTTGTGACATATTTCCAAAATTTATCGGTTTTGTAAGCCGTTTTCTAAGAACCAAAACTCACGAGGGAAGGCCACCAACTGTCCAATCGCTTTTGAGACGAAACCTAGTGGATTATAGGTTATCGACTATGCTGATTCCGAATATGACCATGGTAGCTGCCCATAGATCTCCAGAGACCTGGGTTTCGGAAAACCAGTTTTCAGAAACTCTAAAAAATAACCAAAATCTTTTTTAATATGGTCTGATTGTAGCCTGCACATTTCTGACTAAAATGAGACATCTTCCGGCTATACATGAGTTTTCTTTGCAAAGTTATAGGACTTAAAAGCTCTAAGTTAATTTTTTTCCTTATTTCTGTAGCTTTGACCTGACAATGAACATTTAGGACTTTTCTTGTAAATCCTATAACTATGGGCAGCTACCATGGTCATATTCGGAATCAGCATAGTCGATAACCTATAATCCACTAGGTTTCGTCTCAAAAGCGACTGGACAGTTGGTGACCTTCCCTCGTTAGATTCATGTTATACATAAAACACTGAATCAAATGACACATCTAACAAATGATTCTCGAATACAAGAACTTCAACGAAAACCAGGATCTCAAATGATTTTATCCAAAACAAACATTTTTCCCTAGAGAAACTTAAAAAGAAGAGTACGAGGTCCAGCTTGAAAGTTTTCGGTGAAATTTTTATATCTGAGAATCATTTGTTAGATGTGTTATTAGATTATAATGTTTCATGTACATCAGAAATCTGAGTTAACCTAATTTATTTAATACCACTGTTTCTTCACCAGAAATGGTCTTAGGTTTATCTTATTCAAAAAGGACGTTTAGTTGTAGAGAGGAATATTTTGACAAATATGCGAAGTTGGTGAAAATTGTCATGTTTCCGCAGAATGGACTTCAACACTGTTCTGTTCTGCTCTTTGCAAGCCATTTGAACAAATAAAAAATAGACTGTTGTATTTGACCTAAAATACGCACTCTCATACATCAGTATTGAGTTTATATTACATGCTGAATTTATATTGTACATGCTACTTCGAACGTTGTGCTAAAAGGGAAACATATGGACATGTCTAATCCAATTTTCAATGATTCATGCCTCGACTGATATAGTACATCGAGGTTGTAAAAAGTCTAAAAGGATTCGGATCCGTGGCTTTTCCTTCGAAAGTTATAGACATTTTTCTACTCTTCCCAGCGAAAACTAGAAAAAATCATATCTCTATCCAGAAGAGGAGTAGTAGAGAGTTGATGCTTTTACACGACAGACTAGTGGTAGTCTACTATAGACACTGAAAGTTTTAGCCTTTCATCGCTTTCCCTTCACAAGTTTTAGAACTTCTATTTTAAAGGAAACATACCGTTGAAAGACTGCATGATATTTTCTTTTCTCTTGTGTTTACTTTCTCTTACTACAGTCACATGGCTTTTCCACATTTACTTTTTTGATATTCTTGATATGTAGGAGAAAATAAAGACTTTTCTATGCCACGTGCGCTTTCCTTCATAAAGAAGCCATGTGACTGTAGTAAGAGAAAGTAAACACAAGAGAAAAGAAAATATCATGCAGTCTTTCAACGGTATGTTTCCTTTAAAATAGAAGTTCTAAAACTTGT